ACAGCAAAGGAAACCATAAAGGAGATGAAAAGACAACCCTCAGAATGGGAGAAGATATTTGAAAATGAAGCAACTGACAAAGGATTAATCTCCAAAATATGCAAGCAGCTCATGCAGCTCAATGTCAAAAAATGACAACCCAATCCAAAAATGGGCAGAAGACCTAAATAGAAATTTCTCCAAAGAAGATATATAGATTACCAACAAAGACATGAAAAGATGTTCAACATCACTAATCATTAGAGAAATGCAAATCAAAACTACAATGAGGTATCACCTCACACTGGTCAGAATGACATCATCAAAAAGTTTATAAACAATAAATGGTGGAGAGGGTGTGGAGAAAAGGGAACACTCTTGCTCTGTTGGTGGTAATGTAAATTGATACAGCCTCTGTGGAGAACAGTATGGAAGTTCCTTAAAAAAGTAAAACTAGAATTACCATGTGACCCAGTAATCCCACTACTGGGCATATACCCTGAGAAAACCATAATTCAAAAAGTGTCATGTACCACAGTGTTCATTGCAGCACTACTTACAATAGCCAGGACATGGAAGCAACCTAAGTGTCTATCGACAGATGAATGGATAAAGAAGATGTGGCACATATGTACAATGGAATATTACTCAGCCATAAAAAGAAACAAAATTGGGTTATTTGTAGTGAGGTGGATGGACCCAGTCTGTCATACAGAGTGAAGTAAGTCAGAAAGAGGAAAACAAATACTGTATGCTAACACATATATATGGAATCTAAAAAAGAAACAACAACAACAACAACAACAACAAAGGTTCTGAAGAACCTAGGGGCAGGACAGGAATAAAGACAGAGACATAGAGAATGGACTTGAGGACACGGGGTGGGGGAAGGGTAAGCTGGGATGAAGTGAGAGAGTAACATTGACCTATATACACTACCAAATGTAAAATAGATAGCTAGTGGGAAGCAGCTGCATAACTCAGGGAGTTCAACTTTGTGCTTTGTGACCAGCTACAGGGGTGGGATGGGGGGGTGGGAGGGAGACGTAAGATGGAGGAGATATGGGGATATATGTATGCCTATAGCTAATTCGCTTTGTTATGCAGCAGAAACTAACACACCATTGTAAAGCAATTATACTGCAATAAAGATGTTAAAAAAAAAACAACCCTAAATGTAATGTGGTATATTGGGTTGGATCCTGAAATGGAAAAAAAGGACATTAGTGGAAGAACTGGTGAAAACAAAGTAAATCAGAGTCTAAAAATGTACCAATGTTAATCTCTTAGTTTTGACAAATGTACCATAGTTATGTAAGATGTTAACATTAGGGGAAGCTAGGTGAAGTGTATGTAGAAACGTTCTGTACTGTCTTTGGAACCTTTCTGTAAACTTAAAATTATTCCAAAATAAAATGTTTACTTAAAAAAATTAATAAAATGATATTGACAGTATAATTACAGTGATTTATTTGCAGGTGTTACAAATAAGGTGGAACTAAAATATCAGTAATACGTGAATAACAGTTCCAAGTTTCCTGTATTATTTGTGAGAAGGGTAGTGGATTAAACTAACTCTACTTGTTTGTAAGAATTTTTAAGAATAATCACTAAAATAAGATAAATGGAATGTAGAACTTGTAAATTAGTAAACAAAAAAAAGAAAATGAAGAAAATACAGTCATACAAGAGAAGGCAAGATAGTAGAAAAAAGCATTAGAAAAACCAGGATGAAGAACATAAGATAATATGGAGGAAATAAATCCAAATGTAACTGTCATCACAATAAATTGAAACTGACTAAACTCTCTAGTTAAAGGCAAAGATGGTCAGAATGCATTTGAAAATGTAATCTAGCTGTCTTCTTGTTTTAGGAGAAAAATCTAACCTGTAAGGACATATGAATGTTGAAAATGAAGATAAGGTATATTGAAAAAAGAACCATAAGAAAGTCAGTGTAGCATAATAGTATCAGATATAAGAGATTTTAAGATTGAAAGACATTAATTAGTGATAAAAAAGATTAATACCTTGCTGAAAGAAATAGTTCATGAGGCAGATATAATAATTCTAAACATATAGGTGCTTGATAATATGTGCTCAAAATATATTGAACAAGGAGAAATAGGCAAATCCATAGTGCTAGGTTTTATTTGAATGACATAATTACTAAGCTTAATTGGAATGAACAGAATTCCTATAATTAAGTCTAATAGGAAGCCAGAAACAGACTCATAGACATATGTAAACAATATACTATAGAAGTGGTATCACAAATCTGAAGGAAAATAATTCATGTAAAAAATTAAAAATCTTCCTCATGTCACACACAAACAAAGCACTTGAATAGGAACAGCAAAAATTTAAAATTTATAGTCAAATATGGGAGATTTTCTTTATATACAAGAGGATAAAGGATTTCTTAAGTAAGACATTTTGCAACTGATTTTCTACAACAAAAGATGCATATACAAAATGTTAAGATAATGCTATAGATAGGGAGAATATATTTGCAACTCCCAGTAACAATTGTTTGGTACCTCCTGTAGACACAGAACTCCTACAAATCAATAAGAAAAAGACAAATCATAGAAAGAAACTAGAAAAGATGAATATGCAATTCAAAGAAGAGGTATCTTTAGTGAATGATAAACATGTAAATAGATACTCAAACAGGACTGTGTTTTATACTTCATTTATTTGATCTTCATAACAACTCTATCAAAGAGTCATGTACCTTCCTTGTGGGAACTGTGAGTAACAAACTCTCTTATCAAAAGTCATCATCTCCTGATTTGTTGGCCTTACTGTACCTCAAATTTTCTATTGATGCAGTATATTTTAAAACAGAAGGGGAAGGGGAAACAGTGGTGTGTGTGTGTGGATGTGTATTTCAGACAGAGGGAATAGCTTATATAAGAAGATCTTGAGGTTAGAGAGAGTGAAGAACTGAAAACAGTCTAGTGGGACTTGTGAGTAAAGAACAAAGTAGAGAGTAGTAAAAGACTACCCCAGAAATAGAGATGGTAGGAGAAAGACCCTATATAGAAAGGTTTAGTAAACTTTGTTTTATATATATATATAAATATATATATATATATATATATATGGAGACATATATATATATCAAGAATACATATATCTGATGCACATATATTATACATGTTTATATATGATATTTGACATATCATAAGGGTAAGGGAATGGCAGTTAGAAGAACTTTAAGCAAATACTATGTTTAGCGTTTCATTTCAAAAAATCTTTCTGGTTGCTATGTAGAATGTGGAGTGGAGCAAAACTGCAGGAAAGGAGACTTATTAGGAGGCTGTTCATAGACAAGGAGAGAGATGGTTGAGGGCAGTGTGTTTGAAGTTATGGATCTTAAACATAATTAAGAAATAGAACTGTGAAGTATAGATGGATGGATGTGTGGGTTGAGGGAGAGATAGGAATTTAGAGATAACTCATTTCTTTCTTGAGCATCTGGGTTGAAGGTGACACCATTGATAGAGGCAGGCAATACTAGAAGAGTAACATATTTGGTGGGGGAGAAATGATAGGTTCTGGTCTGGGCTTATTAAAGTTGAGTTGTCCAAGATAGCCATATGATGATGTCAAGTAGACGGCTATGTATATTCACATCTCGAGGTGAGAAGAGAGGACTACCCCAGAGATACAACGTTAATAATAATTAGCATATAGGGGCAATGAAGCCCCTAAAAGCAGCTTCAGTGTGAACTGAGAAGATGAGAGGCTTACAGCACAGTCTGACAACATTTGAAGAAGAGAAGGAATAAGAACTAACAAAGAAAATTGAGAAGGAATAACTTAAGAGATAAAAGGAAAATCAGGGGTGTATAGGGTTATAGAAACCAAGGGATGGTACTATTTCAAAAAGGATTGAAAACTCAACAGTGTTGAATACTGTTGAGAGGTCCAAGAAAAGGACTGATATAATTTCTTTGGAGTTTGTGATTCAGATGTCATTGTTGAACTTGGCAAGAGCAATTACTATTTTGTGGTGAGATCAGAAGCCAGACTGCAGTGAAATGAGAAGTAATTGGGAAGTGAACAAAAGGAGAAAAAAATGCAGATTCAGTATTGCAAGCTAGTGGCTGGTACAGAGAATTTCTCAAGAAAGTACTAAGGTAAATGTGCACTGAACTGACTGAAATGCATTTTGAAAATGCTCTTCCTATGGATTCTTCTTACTTCTTGAACTCCTCAGCAAAACTTAACTGACCAGAGCTCTATGCTCCTGGGTACTTAACTAGGTGACTCTTCCGAGAATAAGAAAAATTAATTTTCTTGTGGTATTAGTATTTGAGAAAGAATTAGTATAATTTCTCTCCCTCTGAAGAGCTTTTGTATATTATTTGAAGGATTGAGCAATATGGACATTTGAGACATTTATGGTAGGGTCAGTAAGGGTGGCTCTTTTTGTTGGTAGGAATATCACATCACATCACAAGGATAAGTCCATATTCAACTAAGGTAAGAATGGCAAATAACTAGCTTGTGTGCTGCTACTTCGCCTATTATTAATTCATAGCAGACACATCTGTATTTGGCCACAGCATCCTTTATATTATAGCATTCCAGGCAGACAAAACCCAAAAAGCCATTTTTGGTGTTGGTTTAGTGTTCCAATCGTGTCCAGGACCACAGCATTGCACATCTCCACAAGGCATTGTTTGCTACATAGACTGCATTGTGAATAGTATCCCCTGGAGTTATATAATAGAATAACCCTGTCGCTGTACCTTTACCCAACTCTCTCTCTACCCTTTCCTCCTTTTCCCACCAAGAACTGAAGTAATATGGTTATTTACATTAGTAAGTAGATCGTAAGTGACATGTTTTGTTTTTTGGCATTGGTTTTTAAACTGCCTATGATACTATTTTCATAATATTGCAACACATTTTGTGAATGTCTCATTCATTATCTATGCTGTGAACAAAATCAAATGCACCAAGTTGTATCTATGCTTATAGATATTTTTTGTTGTAGTTCCACTCACCTCAGTCCGACAACATGAGCTCTGATGAACTGTCTTCTTAAATTTGACTCTTTGAATATTCTAGTAATCTGTAGAAAGAAAGGGAAAAACAACCTCTCTGTAATTACCGTTCTCTGTTTCCTCTTTCTGCCCAACCTTGCAACATCGTTGTTAATGGGGAGTTGACTATGTTAATGAGGAATAGAGAGTTCAGTTTAGTTCAGTTCCTTCTCAGAACACATGGGAGCAATTTAGGCAGGTTAATAACCTTCTGATGCAGTGCCTGTTTCTTCATCTATTACACAAAGATGATAATGGACAGGATGCATCTTCACTAGAAGCCATTCTAAACATAGCAGATGTTTTGCTCAATGAGAGCCCATGTTATGTGATTTGGTGGCTGTTCCCAAAGAGGTGGGCGCATGAGCCAACCCAACACTAGGTGAGTCCACTGATACAATTTACAGTGTGTGATCCTGCAAGAACTGTTCTTAAATGGGTAAAACCAGATTAAAATGAGTAGCAATGGAGAGCTTGATGAGAAAGGAAAAGAAGTAAAGGGCAGTCTTTTCCTTATTGTTTCTGATTAATGCCTAAGCAACATAAGTTATTTTTAGCATCAGTTGGTATTTCCTGACCTAACTTTAACTTTCCCCCTGAATCATTGCTCAGTGCCGTCAAGGATGGTCCTCTTGAGGTATAAGGTTTAGCTTCACAGTAAACTAGTAGTGAGTGATTCTGTGACTGGAACAGTTCTGCCAAGATGCAGGGTGAGATGTACTGAGCTTTCATAATGGGGAGTGGATTCTGTTGGCTTGTACTGTGAGGTTGGACCAAGGTGGGGGTGAACATGAAAAGGTGAAGATGGGGAAATTAAGTAGCATGTTGAATATTACATTAAGCCAGGATTTGAAGCCAATTCTTCTTGAGACTGTAAAGTTTATGCAATCTCTATTACAATGCATTATATCTTATTTTTTCAGTATCCATTCTTTAGGCTGATATCAACCAGTTGTGAGACAAAATAACTTTTTTTCTTTCTAGAGGTCTTAAACATTTTTAAGAGTTATGAGGCTGTTAGTTTTTCAAAATAATTTCCTTTTTAAAAAATTCAAGAAGTACTAGTAAGTGTTAAGAAGAAAGCAAAAAGTCACTCAAAATTCTATGATCTAGAATTATAGAATGCAATCATTTGGTGAGTATTCTAGTTAACTATGTATAAGGATAGATTTTAATGTGTTTATTAATATGGTATATTGTAGGAGGGAGTTTAATAAACTGATTTATCTTTAATATTACTTGACTTTAACAGAAGTAAAAGGAACTGACCTAAAACTGAAGGAATTGCTAAAATTTAGATGTTTCTTGTAATTATATTTTAATTCATGATTTGGTATTGCATCAGCATGGGCTGCACTAGACCAAAATGTTAAAAATATAATTTAATTATGACATTTTTGTTATGTGGAAAATATTGATGTAATTTAGTGAGGACTAAGGTAATAAGCAACATAAAGAAAGCAAGTTGATTAATTGGTTGGTATCCATATACAAGGATAAAAGAAGAGACCCATGGATAAGAATCCGTATTTCATAGAGTGGGTGAAAATTTTGTAGTCTCTTTAATTAGAACTTATCAAATACTTGGTAGAAAATCAGTGAGCAGATGCCTGAAGAGGAAGCCAATAGGAGAGTGGAAAGTGTAGTAGATAGGGGACACAGAGAAAAGTTAGCTTGCTATGAGAACTTGAACGAATCTTTTAAACTTTCTTCCTCTCAGTTTCTTCATCTGTAAAAGGAAAACAGTCCAAAGTGTGTTTAAAAAATTGTTCTGTACACAGTTGACTACTGCAACTCCCAGAGGCTATGCATCTACTTTCAGTAAGCTTTACATGTAACCTGTGGGCTTTTTCACTCCCTTCAAACTTATTATTGATTCTTCTTTAATGGGTTGGATGAGTTTGCTTTCATACTTCTTTGATTTTATAACCTGTATTATTGTCCTTTTTATTACAATGGACAAAAAATCAAGTAAACAATGAAAAAACTATTTTATATTTCCCTCCTGATTGAGGGTGACAATACTATCTTTGTGTTTTTTTTTTTTTTAACGTCCTTATTGGAGTATAATTGCTTTACAGTGTTGTGTTAGTTTCTTCTGTGAATCAGCTATACATATATGTATATCCCCATATCTCCTCCCTCTTGCGTCTCCATCCCACCCTCCTTATCTCACCCCTCTAGGTGGTCACAAACACGGAGCTGATCTCCCTGTGTTATGCAGCTGCTTCCCACTAGCTACCTGTTTTACATTTGGTAGTGTATATATGTCCATGCCATTCTCTCACTTTGTCCCAGCTTACCCTTCCCCCTCCCCGTGTCCTCAAGTCCATTCTCTACATCTGTGTCTTTATTCCTGTCCTGCCCCTAAGTTCTTCTGAACCATTTTTTTTTTTTTTTTTTTTAGATTCCATGTATATGTGTTAGCATACGGTAATTGTTTTTCTCTTTCTGACTTACTTCATTCTGTGTAACAGACTCTGGGTCCATCCACCTCACTACGGATAACTCAATTTCATTTCTTTTTATGGCTGAGTAATATTCTACTATACATATGTGCCACATCTTCTTTATCCATTCATCTGTTGATGGGCACTTAGGTTGCTTCCGTGTCCTGGCTATTGTAAGTAGTGCTGCAATGAACATTGTGGTACATGACTCTTTTTGAATTATGGTTTTCTCAGAGTATATGCCCAGTAGTGGGATTGCTGGGTCATAAGGTAGTTCTATTTTTAGCTTTTTGAGGAACCTCCATACTGTTCTCCATAGTGGCTGTATCAATTTACATTCCCACCAACAGTGCAAGAGGGTTCCCTTTTCTCCACATCTTCTCCAGCATTTATTGTGTGTAGAGTTTTCTATGATGGCCATTCTGACTGGTGTGAGGTGATACCTCAATGTATTTTTTTTTTTTTTAATAAGTTGTTGGGGGTAGGAGTTTACTAATGTATTTATTTATTTTTGCTGTGTTGGGTCTTCGTTTCTGTGCGAGGGCTTTCTCGAGTTGTGGCGAGCGGGGGCCACTCTTCATCGCGGTGTGTGGGTCTCTCACTATCGCGGCCTCTCTTGTTGCGGAGCACAGGCTCCAGACGCGCAGGCTCAGTAGTTGTGGCTCACTGGCCTAGTTGCTCCGTGGCATGTGGGATCTTCCCGGACCGGAGCATGAACCCGTGTCCCCTGCATCGGCAGGCAGACTCTCAACCACTGCGCCACCAGGGAAGCCCCCTCATTGTAGTTTTGATTTGCATTTCTCTAATGATTAATGATGTTGAGCATCTTTTCATGTGTTTGTTGGCAATCTATATATCTTCTTTGGAGAAATGTCTATTTAGGTCTTCTGCCCATTTTTGGATAGGGTGGTTTGTTTTTTTCATATTGAGATGCATGTATATTTTGGATATTAATCCCTTCTCATCTGCTTCGTTTGCAAATATTTCCTCCCCTTCTGAGGGTTGTCTTTTCATCTTCTTTATGGGTTCCTTTGCTGTACAAAAGCTTTTAAGTTTCACTAGGTCTTATTTGTTTATTTTTGTTTTTATTTCCATTTCTCTAGGAGGTGGGTCAAAAAGGATCTTGCTGTGATTTATGTCAAAGAGTGTTCTGCCTATGTTTTCCTCAAAGAGTTTAATAGAGTCTTGCCTTACATTTAGGTCTTTAATCCATTTTGAGTTTATTTTTGGGTATGCTGTTAGGAAGTGTTCTAATTTTATTATTTTACATGTAGCTGTCCAGTTTTCCCAGCACCACTCATTGAAGAGACTTTTTTTCTCCATTGTATATTCTTGCCTCTTTTCTCAAAGATAAGGTGACCATATGTGCATGTGCATAGAGGTTCCCTCTATGCCTAATTTCTGGGGAGCTTTTATCATAAATAGGTGTTGAATTTTGTTGAAAGGTTTTTCTGCATCCATTGAGATTATCCTATGGTTTATATCCTTTAATTTGTTCATATGGCATATCACATTGATGGATTTGTGTATATCGAAGGATCCTTGCATTCCTGGGATACACCCCACTTGATCATGGTGTATGACCCTTTTAATGTGCTGTTGGATTCTGTATGCTAGTATTTTGTGGAGGATTTTTGCATCTATGTTCATCAGAGATATTAGCCTGGAGTTTTCTTTTTCTGTGAAATCTTTGTCTGCTTTTGGTATCAGGGTGATGGTGGCCTCGTAGAATGAGTTTGGTAGTGTTCCTCCTTCTGCTTTATTTTGGAAGAGTTTGAGAAGGTTAGGTGTTAGCTCTTCTTTAAATGTTTGATAGAATTCAACTGTGAAGCCATCCATTCCTGGGCTTTTGTTTTCTGGAAGATTTTTAATACAGTTTCAAATTCAGTGCTTGTGATTGGTTTCTTTATATTTTCTATTTCTTCCTAGTTCAGTCTTGGACAGTTGTGCTTTTCTAAGAATTTGTCCATTTCTTCCAGGTTGTCCATGTTATTGGCATATAGTTGCTTGTATTAATCTCTCATGATCCTTTGTATTTCTGCAGTGTCAGTTGTTACTTCTCCTTTTTCATTTCTAATTCTATTGATTTGAGTCTTCTCCCTTTTTTTCTTGATGAGTCTGGCTAATGGTTTACCAATTTTCTTTATCTTCTCAAAGAACCAGCTTTTTGTTTTATTGATCTTTGCTGTCGTTTCCTTCATTTCTTTTTCGTTTATTTCTGATCTGATGTTTATGATTTCTTTCCTTCTGCTAATTTTGGGGTTATTTTGTTCTTCTTTCTCTAATTGCTTTAGGTGTAAGTTTAGGGGTTTTTTTTGAGATTTTTCTTGTTTCTCGAGATAGGATTGTATTGCTATAAACTTCCCTCTTAGAACTGCTTTTGCTGCATCCCATGGGTTTTGGGCCATTGTGTTTTCATTGTCATTTGTTTCTAGGTATTTTTTGATTTCCTGTTTGATTTCTTCAGTGGTCTCTTGGTTATTAAGTAGTGTATTGTTGAGCCTCCATGTGTCTGTATTTTTTACAGTTTTTTTCCTGTAATTGATATCTAGTCTCATAGTGTTGTGGTTGGAAAAGAT